TTTACCGATGCTCACTTCAAACCCCAGAGTTCTGCACACAGAACAGGAGACAGCACTCAAGTTTTTAATGTTTCTCTCTTCCCTAAGGAGCTGGAGTCTTAGAATATATAAACTCCATGAAAAATGTCAGGCTGGGTAAAATATTTTAGCAGTTACCGGTTTAGTGTGTTTGAAACTGGTTTGCTGATTTAGCGACTGGTACTAAGAGTCCCTCTGTCTCTCACACAGTTCAGCACTCATTCAGCAATCTGCACAGCAAGCTGCATGTGCAAAGGAAATATAAATACTTCTTGCATCTCTTTGTATGCTACAGGCTTCACAGTCACTATTCAGGTCTGACAAACCTGCACAGAGTTCTCTGAAGGGAGGAAGATCCTTTCAAAAATGCCCCAGCTCTGCTTATCTGCAGTAACTTTCTATGTGCATGCTGGCCTTAAATGAGGCTAACTAGGTACTGCAGGATTATAGCAAACTTGGATCCTGCTGTTAAGAGGAGATCTGATGCGTGGAGATTGCTTCTGTCCTGCTTCCAACACAAGAGAGAGCACACTGCCCTCCAGGAACAATCCCTTGGATCTCCACAGGCACATACCAGACGTAAACAACCTCAGATCTCCTGCCAGGAATATTGATGAGCTACAAATAAACCAATGCAAGAGAAAACATGAGCAAAAAAGTGAGTTAAAACAGTAGGATCTTACTTCCTACTGTTTACAGCAGATCCATGCTTTCTAATAACCTAGATCTGCTCATACCATGGTGACTCCATCAGCAGCAAATTTAATCCTACATTTAACTAAATAAGAACTACACATAAAAGCCATTAGTCTTGTCCCTCTTGCCATCCTCCTGTCCATGTCCTCCACTGCTCCCTTTGATGGATGTTTCTGTTGATCTCTGGGTTTCCTCCCCCTACCCAAGCATCTCGGCCCAGCCAACCATGCAGTTCCAAAAGCTGCTCTGGTGGCCTCCCTAGTTCTTCAATTTCTTTTTGCATGAAAAGCTCCACTGACAGCTGCTTGGTGCTCCAGATGGAGCTTTGTAAATACCAAGTGGAACACAGAAACGCTCTGGGACTGGGGAAGGTGCAGGGGAAGGGAATGTGCTGACCGAGGAAATACGCTGGCACTGAACCATTCCTCACCACTCCTCCACTTCCCACACCGCGGCCAGCCTGGATAATTAACCACCCGCTACGCTGACATCTTCATATTAGCAGAAAGCCCAGAGAACCGGAATAAACAGCAGAAACAGTGAAGATGCAACAGGAACAGTTTGCTTTACAAAAACCAAACAGAGCACTGGACAAGTTTTCAGAGAGTCCTTTGGCGAGAGCTTGGCTGTCCCTTTGCCGCAAGTCCTGGCTCTGAGGCAGCAGAAACACCACCTGTCCCCGCACCAGTGCACCCCGGGAGCCAGTCCGACGCCCACCACTGCTCCTCACCACTCCCATGGTGGAGAAAATAATGAGACTCGGCATCTCCCTCACCCACCTGCCTACACCACACGTGCCTTTACTCTCCTGCGGGTTAGCCACACGTGCGGCACAGCCACTAAGCCCTCGCAGTGGTGGCTGGGGTGCCCACAGCTCCTCATGCCCCCTCCTCCAATTCATTATGAGGTATATAGAAAATCTGTGGAAGTACACTGGTTTCAGTAGCTAAAATTCAACTCGAACTCAGTAAGAAAAATGAAGAAAGTCCAAGTGAAAGAAAAATGACGAAAGTCCAAGTGAAAGAAAAATGTATGACTACATTTCAGCATCAGCCTCTGGAGCTGCTTCCCTACTTCAGATAGTGAAGCCTTAAATCAAAGTGCATGAAAAAACATTCGGTCTTTTATACATTTAAGATCCCTAGGCAAAAAAAAAAAAATTGTCTTTTATGAGACTCCACAAGGTCTCCAGCAGTGTGCTGTGTTGAACTGGCCGTGGCAGAAAGTTTGAGGATGGAGCAAAAGCCTCTCTGTGTTTCAGCCCCCACTATCCCCACTGGATGGGGTGTCCCCAGCCATTCTTGCCACCACCACTGGCCAGTCCTGCATCTCCCCTCTGCCCAGCAAAAGAAAACAAAACATCCCTGACCCACACAGCCCCTTCTTCAGCCGCTGTGAATCCAAAGGGCATCTCTTCTGCACCCTCCCATCCTTACCAAGGCTGAGGGTGCAACAGCGTGGAAGGTTAGGGGTTACGGAATGGAAGGGCAGATGACTGATCAGGTGAAAAAATTCAGAAACAGAGACAAAACACAGGTTCCAGCGTGCTCTTTCCACTGTTGTTAAGGAGGTATGATATTGGCCAGGGAGTACAACCTCTGAAAGTGTCAACTCTGGGTACTTGGACACAATGACTCTAGTGTGGAAAGAGCATGTTCAAGCTCAGATTAATGACGAAATCTTTCTGGGCCATACTTCAGAGATGTATGCACGAGCAAGCTCAATCTCATCATATTGTCATCTTAAAGGAGCCTGGCTTGCTTTTAAATGCTACTGATCACAGAGGATCCCGAGATACAAATCCCAAGTTTCAAAGGAAGCTCAGTATGGTGTGAGTATTTATGCAATGAAAACTGAAGTCAGCACCATTTGGAGCCCAACACTCTGCATTCCAGCTTGGGGATGCCAGATGTTTAACACAGACTGAAATCAAATCCCCCTCTCAGAGGAGTAGACAACAGGAAAGATTCAGAAAGGAAAAAGCAAACAAACAAGTTCTCTTCTTAAAGTAGGAGATTTCATTTTTCTCCACAAAAACTGGGCTGTCTCTTCCCCAGTATATCACATTTAATCACACGCCCTCCATTCTGTTCCTCAGAACAGTTTCTACCCAGTTACCTGGCACAGACATCAGGCCTGCTGGTAACAACAGACATAATTACTCTGTGGATTATTATGTTTTTTGTAAAGTACAAGGTGGCAGGCACAAGACCTGTAATAAACTACTGTTCCTCAGCTGGGCATGCTTGCGAGAGTCAAGATAATTTCCAGATGTCTCCGTATCACAAGATACAAAATTAGAGATAATGACCACTTTAGCTACACTGCTGTATCTTTGTTTGACTAAAAAAATAATATAGAAGGAAAGATTTGATAAGCTTATTTCTCCAGGGAAAAGACTGAAGGAGGCAGAAACATACAATTGATAGAGAAGCCTGCACTCAGCAAGCATCCCAACTGTGGGGAAAAAAGACAGACTACGGGCAGAAAGCATCCCAGAAGCAGCAACACTATTCAAAGGAGTGGCTGATAGAAAGAGAATTGATGGAGAGTCATCTGACCCCCAGCATTCCAAAAAACGCCGTCATGTCGTGCTACAAAACAACTCCGTTCCAGGCCACCTAGAAGAGGAGGCACTTGATAAACCATCACTTTAACAACACGTTAAGATGCACTCCGTTTGTTAGCTACAGTCAAACTCACAGGACATTCTCTGAATCTCAGAAATACTGGAACTCGACTGACCATCGTTCAACTACAATCAGAGCAGCTACTTCAAAGTAAAATGAAGAATTCATCAGTTGATCTTTTTGGAATTCGTCTTCAAATTTAAACATAAAAAATTCAGTGTGATTATTACATAGTATTTAACATAATATTTAACTACATATATATTGTTATATATAAAAGGAGTCAGAACGTATCCTGCTTTGGAAATCATGAATTGAATATTTTACTTTCAGAAATCAAGATCTGAGTTGTCTAGCAACAGTCATGTCCATTTTGCCATAAAAATCAACTAAATCCGATGCCACTAGAGACCTGCCTAGTCCAGTGCCCCACCACTGGCAGTGATCAACACCAAGTGCCTAGAGAAGACTATGAGACAAGAGCAAATACATGGAGGTACTTCCTCACAATATTCCCCCAGCCTGCAATGATTTGTACTCCTGCAACCTCCTGCATTTTTAATTTGCATCTGTATATTTGATAGTCTTTGATGGATTTCATCTTCCAAGAATGTGTCCAAAAGATTTTGAATCCATATACGCTGCTTATATCTACAGTGCCCTGTGGGAAGAAGTTCCACACTCTACGAAGCAGCGGCTCCTAGTCTACCAAGACTTCTTCCTAAAAAGCAAACCACAAGAAAAACACAAAACGAAAACAAACAAAAAAAATCCAGTCAAAAGCCCCTCTTCTCTCCTGAGTTAATACAGACACAGAAGGGCAATATAGCATTTTTGTTACTGCTCTACCTGCCCCGATTGTTTCTTTCACTTTTCCTCCTTACATAGGTTTCATAGATTCACGTCTTTCATCTCGATGCCTGTAAAAAATTACTCGTTTTTATGCTTGCATCTTCATTTTATCTTCTCCTTATGTTAATATTCAGATCCAGCATCTACACTAACAGCTCCTTTATTCACGCCCTGCCGCCCCCTCGGGGAGCTCCCCAGTGTCTCCCCATCCCTACGCCAGCGAATACCATGTACCCTTCTTTCACATCACCTGCTTTCCTCCGCAGCCAGCCTCCCACAGCCAGTCTGTTCTTCCACCAAATCTTGCGCACAGGCCCTTCCCTCACTTCACAGGTTTCAAATCCTGCTTCTTCCTTCCCCCATCAGACATTTCAAAGACTAACTCAGTGAAACATGACAAGCTCTGGCCTCTCACACCCTCTTTTCCCTGCAAATATCTATCTTTATTTTTCTCACTATAACCATTACTGATGCTTTCAACCCGCTGCCTCTCTATTCCCTCCAGGGGCTGCCATGATTTCCTCCTCTTCTCTTCTCTCTCCTGCAACCCCTTATCCTTTGATGCCTTCCCCTCCAAAAGAACTCTTATTTTGTTTCAGCATGCTGCCTCTCTGGGATAGATGCCTGCTTTGCGTTTGAAAGAGCACCTGGCATGCTGTGGGCATAAACAGACAAGTAACTGTGGATCTGACAGCGAGATCACAGCGACAGGGAGGCTGCCCTAGAACAGGCCAGAGCAGAGAGCTGCAAAAACAAAGGATCTTAACAGTCACTAATGATCCAGAATGTCCCCCAAAGCCTTACCTTCTCACACCACACAGCCTTTCGGCGAGTTACAAGCTTCTGCAGTTGGTCACGGAGAGTCGTTAGATCCCTGGATAATCTGTCAATCTGCCCAGTCAGCCCGTCAGCCCAGGGGCAGCACGAGGTCACCTTTGGCAGCCCGCTTGTCTCTACAGGAGTGTCCTGAGACTCGCACGTATTTCCCTCTTCAGCCATATCATCTAACACAGTTTCCTACAGGAAAAAGAAGAAAAGTTACTTTTCAACTGCAGCTAAAATGGTTTCCTCTCCCTTCCCGTCTTCCTGGTAATTCATAACTAGAAATTCATCACTGCCATCCCAGTTGCTCTACAATTGCTCTACAATTTCAGAGTTATTTTAAGAGATAACCTCCTGAGTTCAGCATAACATAGTTCTAAGTTAACAGAAAACGTACAGCGCTAACCTAGCTTATTTTAAAAAGCACTACTTACTGTGAGCTAAAGCATCAAGTAACACTCACGGGACAGAGATCATCAGTACTGCAGAAGCTCTAGATACACCCCTTCCCCTCACAATCTGAGGTTGGATGCACTTCTATGGCCTTTTGTAACAAAGCAATCACCAGGAAGGAGGTAAGTGCTTACACCCTTCAGGAGAACCCCATTTGCCACTTGGCACAGTAAGTTTAACACCCATGGGATCATTCATGACCACACAGAACTCTACAAGTTGAGGAACCCCAGGAGATACCTGCTCCAGCCTGGCCAGTTCTGCTAAACACGACCACCTATCTGGTTCTATACTTCTCAAGCTGTCTTTGGAAGTAGCAACTGTTATTTGAAACAGTCAAAAAAAACCCAAATAACTTTAGAATCCTTGAAATGCACGTGCCTATACACCATGGTGCACAGATTATGCAGAAGCACATTGTTTTCAAGGACCTAAGCTTCCTCTCTCAAAGAGCATTAAATATTTATTTCCATATTGCTATCAAGAAGATATTAAATAGGAGAGGTCATAATCTCTTTTAAGGACAGAATTTGCATTCACATTTATCTTTAGAAATTGGAGAAGTGATCTGAAAACAGTAAGAGGAAATTCAGCAGTTGAGCAGCACGGTTTACACATGGGCAAGGAAAAATCAAATGCGTAATTACCAGCTCAACAGCCACACTGCTGGAAAAGACATTGGAAAACCAGAAGTCACCAGTGTCATCCTGTTAAAGCCGAGTATCATTGCAGAAAGCAGAAATACAAGTATCTATGACAGAAGAGCACTGACTGGAACACCAACATATGGGTGAGGCACCTGAGGTTAAACATACAAACGGGAGGGAAAGTCCCAGATGAGAGCAGCAACACCCATCAGAAGTTTGAAGGAATAGCCTGCAAGAAGACATTGAGAGGAACGGTTTTGCTTAGCCTAGAAAAGGAGGCTGGGAAGGCAGCGACATGCTAACAGCCTTCGCTTATATAAAGGGCTGCTATAGAGGGGATGGAAATATGTTTTCTCCCCTGCCCTCTTTCTCGCTCTTCTCTGCAGGTGCGTTAAAAACTCTAGTTTAACTCATAGCAAGAGATTTTTAGATTCAGACAAGAAAAAAGTTTGTGAGAGAGCTAAGAACGGCAAAAGGCACCCTATAAAACCACCTTTCTCAGTGAGCATCAGCATTGCAAACTGGCACAAAGCTGAGGCCAGCAGCTCGTGCTGACCAAAGGTGCAGCTCGGGACAACACAGACGTGTTCTGGGCACTGACAGGCTAATGAACTGCACGGAAATAAAGCTTTGTTGGTTTTGTGGAGGATTTTTGTGGGAGCTTTTTTGTTGTTGTTAGCTTGGTTGTGCTTTTTAATTTGAAATTCATTCAAAAACCCAAATTTTACAGTAACATTACTGCAGGCACTCCAGTTAGGTCATGCTCTGTCTTGTTCCTGCCCACAACCGTCAGGAAGACCTGGCAGCAGCTCCGCAGGAATCATCCCATCCATCAGATCAGCAATGCAAAATGTGGGTTAAGTGGAAAGAGAAAACTATGGTTATCCTCAAAGCACTTCCCATTCCTATATATCCTACAGCATTCCAGGAACAACAACCACCAGCAGCAAAACAAAAGAAAAAGGCAAATCCACCATCTAGCCTGTAGAGCAATTTAAAAAGATGTGCTGGCCAGGTTTTTTTGTGAATATTTATTGAAGATGTAACTCCAGGAACTGCACTAACACTCATAATACTCCCCACGCTGCTCCACATGTCAGAGGCAAACATTTTGGTGGCTATACTCAAATGCCATAACACATTATATTTTGCTTATTTAGAGCCTGGCTTATGCAAGCGTTGATGCCTTTCAAAAAACCCTAAGACGGCAGACACGTAAAGCAAAAACCATTATAGAACTAGTGCCAGTTTTAATGGTTCTGCACTGGAAGTACTCTTCAGGACAGGTGAGGTAGTTTTACGCTCCATTGCGCTGCTTTTAGTGTAGAACAAGGTAGGTGAGTAATTAACAGTCAACTGATTGATTCTCAAAATTTTGTAAACTCATATGGCTAATGTGGTGCTCTAAAGAATTATTTCCAGCAACCTCAATGAACAAAAGTTGTAGAGAAAAGTGAGATGGATGGTACCGTTTGCACTCACTTGAAAAATCCTAAGATGCATAGAGAAAAGCTTATTGATTTTCTTATGATCGTTCAACACAGTTCAAGGGGAAATCGGCAATTTCAACAGACTATTTGACCGGGGTAAAAAATGAAGTTGTTTTCGATATCAGTTGCTTGCAAATTTAGTTTGTTCCCAACTCTGCAATAAAGCTTAGACACCCTCTTCTGAAAAGCCATTTACTTTGAAGAAAATGTACGATGTCTGTGTTTCAAAACATTAAATGAGATGAAGATCAGATACTTTCAGTTATGTTAACTACGTGAAATTCTGCCAATCTGCCCTGCAATTCCTCAGCTTAGCTGGGTGAGTTTTACTGAGGAAAACAGAAGGATGAAAAAGTACTAAGGAAACATTCCTTATTTTACCATAAGGCTTTTTTTCTTTTCTGTAAGAGCTGTTTTTGTGGGAAGGGGCCTTTGGGAGTGGTCAGCTACATTAGAGTCAAGAAAGGTGCACCCTTCAAAATCACTTTGATTCATTACCATCCACTGCCAATAAACCGGTTCCAGTTGCTTCCACTCCAAAAAGGCTTCTAGTTGCAGGGTTTCAGACTCCAGAAGCTGTAATAGCTAGAGGAAAGAAAATCACTGGTCACTTGTGAAGTAAATTAAACGTGTGTTTGGCCTAAACTACAAAGAAGAGTGTCAGTAGTACACAGGGCTACTTTACAAGAACACTGTAAAACCAGCTGCAGAAACACAATGTGAAACACCTTTCCCACTTTCACTCATTACTCCTCACCCCAAATGTGCAAACACCATAAGCTTTGACATACCTGAGTTTCCACATTGTTTTGAGGGATCAAAGAGACATAATTCTAACATGACCACCTTCAAATCTTCTACACTTCTTGACCATCAAAGTAAGCTGCGTTTCTCCAAGAACACTTTCTTCATCTATCCTTTACACTCACATTTATCAAGGCTGCAAGGTCTAAACACCTTTTTCTCTTCCAGGTCATATATATCCTTCTCTCAGCTAAAACTTACCCAGTTGGTCTTTGACTGGGTCTCCTCGTACTCAATGGTAACAACCTCAACTATGATATATAGGTATTTCTGCTACCGCAACATACCTCCTTGCCATGCTGCTCCCACACCTGTAGAAAACTCCAAACTCCGAGATCTCCAGCCCTCTCTGCCTCTTGCCCCCAAATGCTTCATCCCTCACATAGCTCACTCAAGCTGAGATGATCTCAGATGCTCTGAAATAGCGCAGAAGAGCTCCCTCTAAAATTGTTACGTGTTTTATAATTGTATGATCTGCTGTAGGAGGAATCCCTCCCTTAACCTTTGTCCTTCAGGTGCTCTCAGGTAACGTTCTATATATACAAATTACAAATATCTATCACACATGTACACACACACATATACAGACAAAGAGACATTCTAAAACTAAATGTTTATACATCAGTAAAAAGTTTTTGGAAAGAATGACAGATGAACAAATTAGATATAAATCAAAGCTTACCAGCTTTAACAATTTCAGTACTGGCCATATACTTGAAATGAACAATTTTAACACCAATCTGATGCCAAAGCAACTTTGTAAGATGACACACAAGCAGCATATGGTCTCGAAGAGAATGATAAGAATCAAATCAGTACCAGTTAAATCCACCTTATATAGACAACTATCTTCTGCTAGCTTTGTTGGGTTTATTTACTACACAATATATAATTTAAGTAATTGAAAAGCACATGTTGACTTTGCGATTTTATTCTGCAGATATAACTTGAAGATAAAGAAATCAAAGAAAGGAACGTACTTTGCAAGAGTAACTGCTGGATATTATGAGCAGTTTGCTCTAAAACACTGCTGGATCCAAAATACAATTATTACACATTTGTTGGCACAACTGACACTTGGCATCACACTTAATGTCTCTGCTAGTTTCAAGCTCAGCTGGTATATGAGAGGTGGAAGAATGGGTTTTTATCTCCTTTTTTCTCAGGTATATCTATAGCACAAATGGTTCATGTTATGGGATCTCATGCTTGCAATAAAATCTAATCAGAAAGTTGATTCAATATTCAGGCAATAGCTGAGTTACTGGATTTTAAAGTAGCTGTGCAATGTGGTCATGAGTCGCATGTGATTGCAGTATGAACACATCTTGTGACAGCCAAAGAGGACTGATGGCTGGAATGGGAAGCTTCTCATTTTAAGCTTTCAAAAAAAAAAAAAAATCTTAGTAAAAACATAGCCGACATCTTTAGTTTTAGTCTCCCTAGGGGAGCTCCTGAGCCATATCCACCTTTCTTTCACACCACAACTGAAAGGATAGTACCAAAACTTTACCAAACCTGTAAGTGATCTGTTGGAGTTAACTCACCTTAACACCAGGCAAGGCTTTCTGAGCAGTCTCCTAACCCCAAGCCTCCCAGGATCTTTTGCATTTGGGGTTTCTTTGTTTATTTCAAATGGCTCCATTAGTTATACACAATTTGACAGCTCAGTTGAAAGCATTCATCTGACTCGCCTACTTAACGGCACGATCACCTTTCACTAAGGTATTACCACCCTCAGAAATATCAGGCAAGCAACTGTGTGCCAGATTGCTTCAGCTGGAAATCAGTAATGGGGTGTCTACACTGCTCATCCTAAGAGGACTGTTTTCATCCTAGCTGGAACATGCTGTGACAGCGTCAGGCAGCCTGCTATAGGCAATATTTGAGTTTCTGTCCCTGGGGACCGAAGGGACTGTTCCTGGGTGCCAGTATCCTCTGTCATCCTTTACATGGGGCTTGCAAGACTCTGCTTATATTCCAGCATGGAGAATAAAGTGGAACACAATAAAAACTAATGTACTACAAATATCCTTGATACACCGTAGCAAAAACCATAAAACCAAATAAATGTTCAAGGCGGTCACAGGACTACAGACTGCATGTCTGAATTTGGTCATAAGGGCAGTCTCCGCATGACCCAGGGGTGACAGGCTTTCCCTCAGGCAGGCCTGCACTCAGCAAAGGAACTGCCTCCTCGGGCAGCCAGCTTCTTTCCCCCAATCTCAGCCTTTACTCAAGCTTCTCAAGAGCATTTATTGTTTTTTAACTGAGCTGTGTGGCTTTGCAGTCAACGGTGTACATTTTCTTAGGTCACTCATCACAGTCACACCACAGCTGGTACTTCAGTTGTATTTGCAATTGTGGAATCCAAATCCCACGCTGCACCTCTACATTTCCCCTCAAATAACACTACCTTTTCTTATTTGTTTAATATCAACAACAGTTCACACAGGGATAAGTTCCACCTCTGCTGCTACGTAAACCTCTACAGTCACACCACAGCTGGTACTTCAGTTGTATTTGCAATTGTGGAATCCAAATCCCACGCTGCACCTCTGCATTTCCCCTCAAATACGGTACCTTTTCTTATTCGTTTAATATCAACAATGGTTCACACAGGGATGAGAAGTTCCACCTCTGCTGCTACATAAACCTCTCAAAACAAGACAAATTTGCAAGCTGCAGCTAAAGCTGCCTGCTCATGTTCAGTGACCTATGGACCGAGATGCTGTCATACCTCCTGATGAAATTTAAAGACTAACATCTGCAGAAAAGCATTAATTTCATCTCTTGAGCAAAGTGAAGCAACAAGTCTAAAATGTGCCTCACATGGATACTCAGGTGATGCTTAGGGGTAACGCATTAAAATTATGTTTCCCTCCAGACAAAATTAAGACAACAGAATCCATTTCCTTCACTTTTCTGGAGGAAGTTATTGCTCTAAAATACTTATAACTGAGAGAAAAAGTTATGACAAATTCAAATTGCTGATCTCTGTAGAGAAGTAATTCCATAAAAAATGCCGAGAGCAGTAATATCTTCACTAAACCAGTGTAAAGAAACCATCACTGGTGCAAATGACTTGCAAGGAACAGCTTTGCCACAGAGACTAAACTGTGTTTAACTGAGCTGCTGCAGAGCAGGCTGCCAGAACACCTCAGAGCGCTGCAGGAGAACGTGAACCCTGTCAAGAACACGGCTCTCGCTTCCTCTGTGACACGTGGCTGAGATCTCCAGAGCCAACCGCCCAGCATCCCGCAAAGCTCAAGGACCTCAGGGAACATTAAGAACTTCAGCTGCAACAGTCAGAAGTGACAACATCTTCTAGGTGGTTTTGGATACTTGAAAAGTGGCCAACGTTGGGTCCTCTTTGGTATCCACAAATCTAACTCGCACCAAAATCGTTATTTAAACATATCTGTAATTACTTTTTCTGTTGAGATATTAATCTTCTTCATATTATTTACTAGCATATTGCTGAATTCATTGATGCCTGTAGACTGTTAAAGAAATCAATATTTAATAATTTGCAGCATAATGCATCCTTTTCACAGGCTCAGTTCCAGAGAGCTCCCTGCAACAAGCGCTTCATCTCCAATGAGGCCCATAGATCATAATTCAACTACCATACCGCTGGCAAAAGTACTTTTAATCAAAAATTGCTCTGCCTAAATATTCGGAAAATCATCCTATTGTTAGACAGACAAAAAACGGTCTTTTGGCAATAAATTATGTTTCTTGGCTCAGAGACAAAAGACCGCTGATTCATCACCGATTCACACATGACTGTAGATAAAAAAAATCCGCACGGCACTCCGGATCGCTGCAAACCTCACTCCAAACGGCAACATCTCTGAGGTATGACTCAAGGCTCGAGACAGGGTTGGCTTAGTACGAAGGCATATATGGGGAAAGTATCAAAAGTCTATTTCCTATTTTCACTTAATAGGGAATGGCTTTATTCAACTTGAATATCTAACAACCGCAGGAGAGAAGTGGAGAAGCTCCTTCCAAAAAAATGCAAAGAAAGAGGTAAACTGTCATGAAAGTGTTACGCAGCTTGCATTACCAGAAGTAAATCATAACTGTGGTTAAGGTTTGAGGGACCTAACAAAGCATCAGGTGAAATAAACAAATTGCAACACGGCTTCTTCTCTGCCACTAGTGCAAAACTCCCTTACCAAAAAAGCCAAGCAAACGTTCACAAACTAGAGCCCCTCAGCAGGCGGGCTGTTAGCTGGACAACATTTGGTTTTAAGTAGTGCGTGCTGCGTAGGCCTAAGTTTTGAGACCCCTTCATTAAAAAAAAAAAAGCAGAAAATCTTGATATTACAACCATCTCAGGCTGGGACAAAAACACCCTAGCACTGTAGGTGGGCACGCTCGTGCTCCAAGATTCTAAACTCACATTGTGATTTCTTCAGATGCAAAGCTGGTTTAAGACATTCCCATACATGCCTTGAAGGCTGAAGCAAAAATAAATAGGCCTGAAAACTAGAAAGTCACACTGGAATAGTGTGAAGTACAAGCAGCTGAAGAGCAAAAAAAATCAACATACCAATAAGCAGCCTCTAGCCACAAGGCAAATAAAGATCTACTGAGGTCACTTCTCTGCCTGCGAAATACTGCTGGGGGTTGAGACAGGGCAGAAGCAGCGCTGGAACCCCACCATCGTGAGGTGAGTGGATCGAAAAGGCTCCTGGTGACACAAGCGGATGAGAACTCCCCACAGAGACCTTGACTGAAATGCCAGCAGGGAGGGGGAAAAGGCCCCCCGT